CCCCACCCCCCCAGGAGGATATCACCCCCCACCCCCAGGAGGATATCACCCCCCCACCCCCCCAGGAGGATATCACCCCCCCACCCCCAGGAGGATATCACCCCCCCACCCCTAGGAGGATATCACCCCCCCCCCACCCCCAGGAGGATATCACCCCCCCACCCCCAGGAGGATATCACCCCCCACCCCAGGAGGATATCACCCCCCACCCCCCAGGAGGATATCACCCCCCACCCCCCAGGAGGATATCACACCCCACCCCCCCAGGAGGATATCACCCCCCCACCCCCCCAGGAGGATATCACTCTGCACAACACACACAGACTGTACAGAACTGCAAACTCTCAGCAATAAACAGGGAGCAGTTGGACCTGGAGAGAGAGAGAGAGAAAATGAATCTTTACAATCTTAAAGGGGGTGAAGGAACAGAGAGACCGGGGGGTTCATATAGTAAATCTTTGAAGGTGGCCGGACAGGTAGATACAGCTGTTAAAAAAGCATCCGGGATACACGGCTTTATAAATAGGGGCATAGAATACAACAGTCAGGAAGTTATGATGAACCTTTATATATAACACTGGTTAGGCCTCAGCGAGAGACTGTTCAGTTTGCAGAGCTATGGGGAGAGGGCGGGGGAGTGGGGTTGATCAGGGCTATGGGGAGAGAGTGGGGGAGTGGGGTTGATCAGGGCTATGGGGAGAGAGCGGGGGAGTGGGGTTGATCAGGGCTATGGGAGAGCGCGGGGGAGTGGGGTTGATCAGGGCTATGGGGAGAGAGCGGGGAGTGGGGTTGATCAGGGCTATGGGGAGAGAGCGGGGGAGTGGGGTTGATCAGGGCTATGGGGAGAGAGCGGGGGAGTGGGGTTGATCAGGGCTATGGGGAGAGAGCGGGGGAGTGGGGTTGATCAGGGCTATGGGGAGAGAGCGGGGGGAGTGGGGTTGATCAGGGCTATGCGGAGAGTGGGGGAGTGGGGTTGATCAGGGCTATGGGGAGAGAGCGGGGGAGTGGGGATGATCAGGGCTATGGGGAGAGAGCGGGGGAGTGGGGTTGATCAGGGCTATGGGGAGAGCGCGGGGGAGTGGGGTTGATTGGGGCTATGGGGGGAGAGTGGGGGAGTGGGGTTGATTTGGAAGCTCTTTTCAAAAAGCGGCACAGATACGATGGGCCAAATGTCCTCCTTCTGTGCTCTATAATTCTATGATTTACACAGCACCCTTCACCTTTCAGAAAGAATAGTCGGGAGGTGTTGGACACTCAAGGGTTTGTACCCTCGCTGGGTGTTGGGATCAGGAGGGGGGATTAACTGGGGATGGGAAGGTGACCAAAAGAGAGGTCAAAGAGGTGGGTCTTGAGACGGGGAAGATCTTGAGAAAGCGAGTGAAGAGCAAGTGAGAAAACATTTATTTTGGTTTTCATAATAACAACAATAATAATCCTTACATCTGAGCTACAGTAGCAGGTTTCACATCAGGACAGTCTCACAACGCTTCACAGGATATCCTGTAAGGTGCAGTGACTGTCTTTTGTGGATGAATTGATTAATTGTCAGCAAAACCCACACTGCGTTGCACTGGGCAGAAACGGTTGTCACTGTGAACGGCCAGTGAGGATTGTACAAAATGAAGAGCTGCCCTGGCCCAGCTCAGCCAAGGCTGCTTTTAATATAATAGTAGATAGATTTCTGCTAAATAAATAATGTCCGTGGATATATAGTTTGGGGACACGACATGTCAAGCGACTGCCAGGACAGTGGAAGGCGAACTAGATGGACCTCGGTCTTCTTTCGCCAGCAAATTCTTATGTTGGTAAACCAGGTAAAGGACGCTGCCTGGTGGTGAGACGCGGCATTTCGTCACAGTTTTACAATCTGAAGCTGCCCCTGGACTGGCTGAGGTCCCAGAAATTTCTGTTTTTATTTGAGATTTCCAGCATCTGCAGTATTTTGCCTTTAGTATTACATACTGTGTGGTGTGAAGCGAGCTGGGCAGAGGGAACAGAACGGCGTCCGTCTGATCAATCTTCGAAAGGAATTAAAGAGGAAATTAGAGAATTGTGGGAATGTGAAATTCTCTGCCACAAACTGTAGTTACTGTAAAGTCTGTAAATTATTTTATGGGAATGAGATGGATGTCTGAAGAGGAGGAATATTAATATATAAAGGGGGAGGGGGGCAGGGGGAGAGGGGGCAGGGGGGAGAGGGGGGCAGCGGGGAGTGGTTGGTCTGCGGGGAAACCCTGGATCCCAAAGTGAGAGGTTTGGGGGTAATAGGGTTATTGGAGGTGGGGCTAGGATTGGGGGCGGGGTTAGGATTGGGGCGGGGCTCGGGTTGGGGGCGGGGTTAGGATTGGGGGCGGGGTTAGTGTTGGGGCGGGGCTCGGGTTGGGGGCGGGTCAGGATTGGGGGCGGGGTTAGTGTTGGGGCGGGGCTCGGGTTGGGGGCGGGGTCAGGATTGGGGGCGGGGTTAGTGTTGGGGCGGGGCTCGGGTTGGGGGCGGGTCAGGATTGGGGCGGGGTTAGTGTTGGGGCGGGGCTCGGGTTGGGGGGGGTTAGGATTGGGGGCGGGTTAGGATTGGGGCGGGGCTCGGGTTGGGGGCGGGGTTAGTGTTGGGGCGGGGCTCGGGTTGGAACCCATTTCCCCACCTTCTGTCACCAAACTCATCCTGTCCCTGAAACCCACCACTTACCCCCTTGACCCCATCCCCACTCCACTCCTTATCTCCCAGCTCCACCTCCTTGCCCCACTTCTCACAGACATCATCAACCTGTCCCTCTCCTGTGGCTCTGTTCCCATTCCCCTCAAAACTGCCATCATCACTCCCACCTTGAAAAAACCCTCCCTTGATGCGTCGCAGCTGTCAAGCTACCGGCCATCTCCAACCTCCCCTTCCTGTCCAAGGTCCTTGAAAGAGTTGTCGCCTCCCGGCTGCGCTCTTTCCTCTCCACCCACTCACTTTTTGAACCCCTCCAGTCGGGTTTCCGTGCTGCCCATAGCACAGAAACCGCCCTGGTCAAGGTCACTGATGACATCCTGACCATCTGCGAGAGGGCTCCCTCTGCCTCCTCGTCCTCCTCGACCTATTGGCCGCATTCGATACGGTCGACCACTCTATCCTCCTCCACCGCTTGTCCTCCCACCTCAACCTTCAAGGCCCTGTCCTTGAGTGGTTTAGGTCGTACCTCTCCCACCGTCTTCATTTTGTCTCTGCAAACGGCTTTTCCTCCACCCCCCGCACTGTCTCGTGCGGTGTCCCTCAGGGCTCTGTCCTCGGTCCCCTCCTCTTCACCCTCTATACGCTCCCCCTGTGGTGACATCATCCGCAGACATGGGGTTAACTTCCACATGTATGCGGATGACACCCAACTCTACCTTTCCTCCTCTACCCTCAACTCCACGACCACCGATGTCCTGACAGCTGTCTGTCCGACATCGAGTCCTGGACGAGAGACAACTTTCTTCAGCTCAACGTGTGCAAAACTGAGGCCCTCCTGATTGGCTCACGTCAGCGCCTCCGCACCTCAGGCGCTGACACCATCAGCTCCGCACTCTCCACCTCTCAAAGCCATCAGGAACCTCGGGGTTCTGTTCGACCCTGAGCTGTCCTTTCTCCCTCATATCCGCACCACAACCGGCACCGCCTTCCATCACCTCCGGAACATCGCCAGACTACGGCATTACCTCCACGCCTTTATCACCTCAAGGCTGGACTATGGGAACTCTCTCCTCGTCGGCCTTCCCGGCCCTCCCTCCACACTGCAGGTCATTCAGAACTCTGCAGCTCGTGTACTGTCCCGCACCAGACACTGCGCCCACATCACTCCCACCCTCGCCCTCACCCTCGCCCTCACCCTCGCCCTCGCTCGCCTCCACTGGCTTCCCATCCCCCAGAGGATCGAATTCAAGATCCTCATCCTCACCTACAAGGCCATTCACGGCCTCGCTCCCTCCTACCTCTCCGACCTACTATCCCCCTACCTACCTGCCCGTACCCTCTGGCTCCCGTCTGCTCCACACCCCCCGCCCCAACCGCCCTACCATCGGTGGCCTTCAGCCTCTCAGCCCCGAGGCTCTGGAACTCTATCCCCAGTGCCTTCGCCGCTTCCTCCCTTTCCTCCTTCAAGGCCGGTCTCAAGACCTTTCTCTTTGACCTTCAGCCTTCAGCTCCACTCTCGACTCTCTACCCCCTCCCTCAACCTGACCATTTCCCCCCTCCTCGCTCCCTCCCTTCCCTCCCTCACCCTGACCATTTCCCCCCTCCTCGCTCCCTCCCTTCCCTCCCCTCACACTGACCATTTCCCCCCTCCTCACTCCCTCCCTTCCCTCCCCTCACCCTGACCGTTTCCCCCCAATGCTCGGGTCCGACCCAACTGTCCAGCGCCTTGGGACGTCCTCCCGACATGAAAGGCGCTCTATAAATGAAATCTTGTTGTTGTTGTTGGGGGCGGGTCTCGGATTGGGGGCGGGGCTCGAGTTGGGGGCGGGGTTAGCGTTGGGGGCGCCAGTGTTGGGGGCGGGGCTCGAGTTGGGGGCGTGGTTCGGGTTGCAGGCGGGGCTCGGATTGGGGGCAGGGCTCGGGTTGTCGGAGCTCGTGTTGTGGGCGGGGTTAGTGTTGTGGGCGGGGTTAGCGTTGGGGGCGGGGCTCGGGTTTGGGGTGGGCCTCAGGTTGGGGGCGGGGTTCGAGATGGGGGGGCTCGGGGTGGGAGTGGGGCTCGGGGTGGGGGCGGGGCACGGGGTGGGGGCGGGGCACGGGGTGGGTGTGTGGGCGGGGCTCGGGGAGGGGGCGGGGCTCGGAGAGAGGGCGGGGCTCGGGGAAGGGGCGGGGCTCAGGTGGGGGTGGGGCTCGGGGTGTGGGCGGGGCTCGGGGTGGGTGTGGGCACGGGGCTCGGGGAGGGGGCGGGGCTCGGGGCTCGGGGTGGGTGTGGGGGCGGGGCTCGGAGAGGGGGCGGGGCGCGGGTTGGGCGGGGCGCGGGGTGGGGGCGGCCTGACCGCGGAGCGGAAGTTGCAGTCAATGTCCCGGATGCAGTAGGAGCTGGTTGCCAGGAGACGGGGCCGCGGGTCAGCAACTGCCAGAGACATGGAGGAGGATGTGGACACAAACCCGAGAGTGAGTGTGTGTGAGAGAGAGAGTGTGAGAGCGAGTGAGAGAGAGTGTGTGAGAGAGAGAAAGAGAGAGTGTGTGAGAGAGAGTGTGAGAGAGAGTGAGAGAAAGTGTGAGAGAGTGTGTGAGAGAGAGAGTGTGAGAGTGTGTGAGAGAGTGAGAGAGAGAGAGAGAGAGAGTGTGTGAGAGAGAGAGTGAGAGAGCGAGTGAGAGAGAATGTGCGAGAGAGAGAAAGAGAGAGTGTGTGAGAGAGTGTGAGAGTGAGAGTGTGTGAGAGAGAGAGTGAGAGAGTGTGTGTGAGAGAGTGTGTGAGAGAGAGTGAGAGAGTGTGTGAGAGAGAGTGAGAGAGTGTGTGAGAGAGAGTGTGAGAGTGAGAGTGTGTGAGAGAGAGAGTGAGAGAGTGTGTGTGAGAGAGTGTGTGAGAGAGAGAGTGAGAGAGTGTGTGTGAGAGAGTGTGTGAGAGAGAGTGAGAGGTGTGTGAGAGAGAGTGAGAGAGTGTGTGAGAGAGAGTGTGAGAGAGAGTGTGAGAGTGAGAGTGTGTGAGAGAGAGAGTGAGAGAGTGTGTGTGAGAGAGTGTGTGAGAGAGAGAGTGAGAGAGTGTGTGTGAGAGAGTGTGTGAGAGAGAGTGAGAGAGTGTGTGAGAGAGAGTGAGAGAGTGTGTGAGAGAGAGTGTGAGAGTGAGAGTGTGTGAGAGAGGAGTGAGAGAGTGGTGTGAGAGAGTGTGTGAGAGAGAGTGAGAGAGTGTGTGAGAGAGAGTGTGAGAGAGAGAGTGAGAGAGTGTGTGTGAGAGAGTGTGTGAGAGAGAGTGAGAGAGTTTGAGAGTGTGTGTGAGAGAGAGTGAGAGAGTGTGAGAGAGAGAGTGAGAGAGTGTGTGTGAGAGAGTGTGAGAGAGAGAGTGTGTGAGAGAGAGTGTGAGAGAGTGTGTGAGAGAGAGAGTGTGAGAGAGAGTGTGAGAGAGAGTGTGTGTGAGTGAGAGTGTTTGTGAGAGAGAGAGTGAGAGAGAGTGTGAGAGTGAGAGTGTGTGAGAGAGTGAGAGAGAGAGCGAGAGAGAGAGTGTGTGAGAGAGAGAGTGAGAGAGCGAGTGAGAGAGAATGTGTGTGAGAGTGTGAGAGAGAGAGTGTGAGAGAGTGTAAGTATGAGAGAGTGAGGATGAGGATGTGTGTGTGAGTATGAGAGAGAGTGAGAATGAGTGTGTGTGAGTGAGAGAGAGAGTAAGTGAGAGTGAGGATGAGGGTGTGTGTGAGAGTATGAGAGAGAGTGAGAGTGTGTGTGTAAGAGAGTGTGAGTGTATGAGAGTAAGAGAAGGAGAATGAGAGTGTGTGAGAGAGTGAGAGTATGAGAGTAAGAGAAGGAGAATGAGAGTATGTGTGAGAGATTGTGAGAGTATGAGAGAGAGTAAGAGAGAGTGAGAGTGTGTGTGAGAAGTGTGAGAGAGTGTGTGTTTGGGGTCCTGCTTGGGGCGGGGTGAGGGGTGGGGGGTTGTGTGTCTGTTTGGGTGTCCTATTGGGGGTGAGGGGTGTGTGTTTGGGGGTGCTGTTGGGGGTGAGGGTGTGTGTGTTTGGGGGTGCTGTTGGGGGTGAGGGTGTGTGTGTTTGGGGGTGCTGTTGGGGTGAGGGTGTGTGTTTGGGGGTGCTGTTGGGGTGAGGGGGTGTGTGTTTGGGGGTGCTGTTGGGGGTGAGGGTGTGTGTGGGGGTGCTGTTGGGGGTGAGGGGGTGTGTGTTTGGGGGTGCTGTTGGGGGTGAGGGTGTGTGTGTTTGGGGTGCTGTTGGGGGTGAGGGGGTGTGTGTTTGGGGGTGCTGTTGGGGGTGAGGGTGTGTGTGTTTGGGGGTGCTGTTGGGGGTGAGGGTGTGTGTGTTTGGGGGTGCTGTTGGGGGTGAGGGTGTGTGTGTTTGGGGGTGCTGTTGGGGGTGAGGGTGTGTGTGTTTGGGGGTGCTGTTGGGGGTGAGGGTGTGTGTTTGGGGGTGCTGTTGGGGGTGAGGGTGTCCCTGATCATGTTATTTCTTTCAGATGGTGAAGACGGGCCGCCGAGCTCGCCAGGCTCTGGAGCCCTCACAGGAGGAAACCCTCGTCACTCGCCAAACCCCGTCCACTGGCTGCTTGGCTGAGGTGGTTACTGTGTCCCTGACAGTCAGTCACTCAGGGCGCTGGCCCTGCGGGGGAGAGACCAAGCACCACAGAGCGAGGGAGCCCGAGGGCCGTCAGTAAAGACACAGTCAACAACAACTTGCGTTTATACAGTGCCCCACACGCAGGGTAGCGTCCCAGGCCGCTTGGCAGTGGGGGAGCACGATGCTGAGCCTGGGGGAGGGTGGCGGTCAATGACGCAGGGGGCTGGCAGGTGTAGAGGCTGAGCCCGACAGTGTGAGGGGACTGCAGTGAAATGCGATGGCTTCCCCAAGGTGCTGAGCTATTGTTGGTGGGAATCCAGTGCAGAGAAGGGGGTTCAGTAAAGCTATTTACTGTCTGTGTTTGCCCTCCCCCAGGGGCCCCCCGGGAAGCCCGCTCGGCGGCAGGGAGGATGGGCCGACGACACCGCACGCTCAGCCAAGTAAGTTTGTCCTCTTTGTGGGGGAGGGGGACCTAAACCCAGGGGGGTTCTGTTTGTTACCCAGCAGTGAAGGTCCTGCATTACACTGAAGCACATTCAGGTGCCCGGGGTGAGAGGCTCAAGTGCCCGGGGTGGGAGGCTCAGGTGCCCGGGGTCAGGCAGCTCTGGTGCCCGGGGTCAGGCGGCTCTGGTGCCCGGGGTCAGGCGGCTCTGGTGCCCGGGGTCAGCCTGTGGAAACTGATGGCTGAGTAATCGGGTGCAACAGCGTGAACTGGAGACCAGATTATTTATTGAGAAGCAGAAGGTTTATGCAGAGTCTCCACCAGGGCGCAGCGCGGTCTCACAGCTCAGCCCTGGTGTGACTGACACTGCACTGAGCAGCTCCAGGTTAGGACGTCTGTCACAGTCAGCCATCTGGAGATCCAGACGATGGACATGGTTAAGGTGATGAAAGGGTTTCAGAATTAACCATGAAAAACTCTTTCCACTGATAGGAAATGTGACTGTGCGGTGGGGTATCTCTGTCAAAGCAGAACAACAACAGCAGAACAATAACTTGCGTTTACACAGCGCCCCTCACACAGGGTAGCGTCCCAGAGCGCTTGACAGTGACGGAGCACGATGCCATGCCGGGGAGAGGAGAACCTGACCTGAGGCATGGTCGAAATGCGAAGGTCTTTAGGCTAACCTAAAGATGGGGAAGGAAGAGGCAAGACGGATAGAGGAAGAGTGTTCAAGGGTTTCGGGGCATAGTGGCTGAAAATGCGGCCATAGAATTATACAGCACAGAAGGAGGCCATTAGGCCCATCGTGTCTATACCGCTCTTTGAAAAGATCTATCCAAACTAGTCCCACCCCCCGTTCTCGCCCCATAGCCCGGCAAACTTGTCCTCCCCAAATAATTATCTACTCTCTTAAAAGCTGTTATTGAATCGGCTTCCACCGGCCTTTCAGGCAATGCATTCCAGATCCCAACAACTCGCTGTATGAAAACATTTCTCCTCACATCCCCTCTGTTGTTTTTAACACCTATTTTAACTCGGTGTCCTCGGGTTACTGACCCACCCGCCAGTGGGAATAGTTTCTCCTTGTTCTCCCTATCGAATCCCCTCATCATTTTGAAAACTTCTATTAAGTCTCCTCTTAACCTTCTCTGCTCCAAGGAGAATAATCCAAGCTTCTCGAGCCTCTCCTGATAACTGAAGTCCCTCATTCCTGGTACCATTCTGGTCAATCTCCTTTGCATCCTCTCCAATGTCTTGACATCCTTCCTAAAGTGAGGGGCCCAGAACTGAACACAGTCTCTAACTGAGGCCTAACCAGTGTTTTATATAAAGGTTCATCATAACTTCCTGACTGTTGTATTCTATGCCCCTATTTATAAAGCCGTGTATCCCGGATGCTTTTTTAACAGCTGTATCTACCTGTCCGGCCACCTTCAAAGATTTACCATATGAACCCCCCGGTCTCTCTGTTCCTTCACCCCCTTTAAGATTGTATCATCAGCGTATATTGTCTCTCCTCATTCTTCCTCCCAAACTGCATCGATTCGCATTTCTCCACATTAAACTTCATCTGCCACGTGTCGGCCCATTTTCCCAGTCTGTCTATGTCTAGTAAAGCTCCCTCCACCCCGTTCACACTCCCAGGTCAGGGGCAGCAAGTCTTAGTGTTGGGAGGAATGTGGAATGTTTGTGCTGAACTGGAACGTGCTGCTGGGTGCTGGGTATTGATCAGTCAGTGTGCTGAAGGGTAGGACAAGGTTAGCAAAGCTGTGAAGCAGCAAAATCAGTCTCTGCAGATTGTGTGAAAAATTCAGAGAGAATATGCAAACTGCAAATTAATGCTAGTCCATTGCCTCAAACTGAGTTGCTTGGAGGGTAGGCAGTGGGGTGTGTAGGAAGAGGGTTGGGTGGAGGCACTGGTGGGGGGTAGGCAACTGGAGGGGAGGAGGAGGGGAGGCAGTGGGGTGGGGGGGTGTAGGCAGTGGGGGAGGGTGTAGGCAGTGGGGGGGATTGGCAGTTGGGGGGTTTAGCAGTAGGCGGGTAGACAGTGGGGATAGGCAGTGGGAGGGCTGGGCAGTGAGGGGGCTGGGCAGTGAGGGGGCTGGGCAGTGAGGGGGCTGGGCAGTGAGGGGGCTGGGCAGTGAGGGGGCTGGGCAGTGAGGGGCTGGGCAGTGAGGGGGCTGGGCAGTGAGGAGGGTGGGCAGTGAGGGGTGTGGGCAGTGAAGGGGGTGGGCAGTGAGGGGGTTGTGCAGTGAGGGGGGTTGGGCAGTGAGGGAGTTAGTGAGGGGTGGGCAGTGAGGGGGTTGGGCAGTGAGGGGGGTGGACAGTGAGTGAGAGGTGTGGGCAGTGAGGGGGTGTTAGTGAGGTGGGAGTAGGTAATGAGGGGGGTGGGCAGTGAAAGGGGGGTATTGAGGTGGGTAGGCAGTGAGGGGTGGGCAGTGAGGGGCTTAGGCAGTGAGCGGGAGGTAGGCAGTGAGCGGGAGGTAGGCAGTGAGGGGGGGTAGGCAATGAGGGGGGGTAGGCAGTGAGGCATGGTAGGTAATGAGGGGGTTGTAGGCAGTGAGGGGGTAGGCAGTGAGGGGGCACTGGTAGGCAGGGAGGGCGTAAGCAGTGGGAGGGGTAGGCAGTGAGGGGTTAGGCAGTGAGGAAGGGAGGCAATGAGACGGGGTAGGCAGTGAGGGGGGTAGGCACTAAGGGGAGGGTAGGCAGTGAGTGGGGGCAGGCAGTGAGGGGGTAAGCACTAAGGGGAGGGGAGGCAGTGAGTGGGGGGCAGGCAGTGAGTGGGGGGCAGGCAGTGAGTGGGGGGCAGGCGGTGAGTGGGGGGCAGGCGGTGAGTGGGGGGCAGGCGGTGAGTGGGGGGCAGGCGGTGAGTGGGGGTAGGCAGTGAGTGGGGGCAGGCAGTGAGGTGTTGCATGGTGTGTGGATGAGCATTAATTGGAGGAGGAGGGCAGGTGGGAGGGAGGGAGTGCAGTGGGGGAGGGAAGGAGGGAGGGAGGCTGATGTAATCAGATGGTGATGGAGTGTTGGGAGAGACCAGAACTGTCATTTTAATTAACTTTGTAAACTGCTGATTCAGCATCTGTACTGGTCCCCGGGCCCTGGGAAGGTCAGGAGAACTGTTTTCAAGACATTAAACCACGGAATGAAGTGTAACATGGCTGTTGAGATTGAGACAGGAACAATATGTAAAAGGAATTGGTTAGTGGGGAATGTGCATAGAGTGGAGACTCCAGCACTGATGTAATGGGGACGGCGGAGGGAAGGCCGTGCTCTCCCAGCACTGTGCTGCAGTGTCAGCCTGCGCTGTGATGGCAAGTCCCAATGTGAGGCCTGGTTGGGTAAATGTAACGCAGGCCTTGTCTTCTCGTTGCAGATCAGGACGCAAAGTTCCAGACGAGATTGAAGAGTAAGTTTGCCAGGACTGGAGTTTATTCCTCCCGTTAGTAACTGTTAGTCAGTGTGTCAGGGATGGCCACTCCCCTTCTGTCTGCCGCTGCTCGTCCCTCAGGCATGCTGTGGAGGAGCTGCTCTCACCACACATAGTGATTAACACTCCCCCAGTCACTGTGTGTGCCAACCCTCACTCACACAAACAACCTGTTGTGCCTCCTGAACCATGTAACCTAACCCCGCTCTCCCTCCCGTCCACTACACATTCCACACCATCCCACAGTCCCTTCGCCTCGCTCCCTCCCTCCCTCCCTCCCTCCCTCGCCTCCTTCAAGGCCCGTCTCAAGACACTCCTCTTTAACTGCTTTCAGCCTACCCCCCACCCTCCCTGCCCCCCCTCCTGATCCCAACCCCCAGCTCGGGTATATGTTAATGTAAATGTAATTTGTTTTCGTTGTGATTAATATTCCTTCTCATCAAGCATGTTTCTAATTGTTTATTGAGGGCAGGGATTCCTCTCTGCTCCTGTTAACCCCACAAGCCAAAGCCCTACTGGTCCTGAGCTGCACAAGCAGTGGGAAAGCTTTCCAGGGAGGCCTCTGTGGTGAAGTTTGAGGTTAGACTCTAATAGTTACCTGTTGCACACTCTGGTGGACTATACTGCACTCTGGTAGCCTGGCTCGGCCCGGCCGCTGGGAGTGCACAGGGTAATATAATAATCCTCGCTGGGGACCACATTAATCTTCCTCCCTCCCTCTCCCAACAGTAAGCGACTGAGACCAGACACCCCCGAGGGATCAGAGGATGGTGGAGGTGAGAAATTGTTAGCCATGTTGCTGGAGGGATGGGGTTGTGGCTGTACTGGGTTGTGGCTGCGGCTGTGGCTGTGGCTGTGGCTGTGCTGGGCTGTGGTGGCTGTGGTTGTGGCTGTGGTGGCTGTGGTTGTGGCTGTGCTGGGCTGTGGTGGCTGTGCTGGGCTGGGCTGTGGTGGCTGTGGTTGTGGCTGTGCTGGACTGTGGTGGCTGTGGTTGTGGCTGTGGTGGCTGTGGTTGTGGTGGCTGTGGTTGTGGCTGTGCTGGGCTGTGGTGGCTGTGCTGTGGTGGCTGTGGCTGTGGTTGTGGCTGTGCTGGGCTGTGGTGGCTGTGGCTGTGCTGTGGTGGCTGTGGTTGTGGCTGTGGTGGCTGTACTGGGCTGTGGTGGCTGGGGTTGTGGCTGTGGTGGCTGTACTGGGCTGTGCTGGGCTGTGGTGGCTGTGCTGGGCTGTGGTGGCTGGGGTTGTGGCTGTGGTGGCTGTGGCCGTGCTGTGGCGGACTGTGCTGTGTTAGGGTGACTCTGGCTCAGACACTGATGAGCTGCTGCTAGCGCAGATTCTGCAATAATTGTTCAATTTCTCTTCACATCAACAAGGGAAAATAGGCTGTCCAGACTGAGCAGGTCCCTAAATAACACACTCACACACACACAGCGCTATTTCCACAGGTTAATTTGCTGTGTATTTACTGATAAGAGTTGTGTATATATCAATCAATATCTTTGCGAGTGGCACTCTCTCTGCGTGCCTGGCTGTGGGGTGTGGGAGCAGAGAGGGCCGGTAATGAGCTGAGCGGGAGCTGCCTGGTGGAAGGGCTGGAATTAGGTCTGAATTGGAGAGTTGATGCAAATGGGCCAATGCCTAACGCCAGTCATCTGTCTTCAGCAAAGTTCTGACACCCACATCAGCAGCTGAGTGAGTGAGACACACTGCTGATGGAAAGGTCTGATCAGATCAGACACAGCCAGGCTGAGACATCAAGGGGTGGGGGGGAGGGGAGTGTGGCTGAGACAGTGACATGGTGGGGTGGGGGAGTGTGTGACTGAGAGACAGGGACATGGGGCTGTGGGGAGGGGCTGAGGGACAGTGACATGGAGTGGGGGGGCTGAGTGACAGGGATATGGGGCTGTGGGGGGGGGGGTGCTGAGAGACAGTGACATAGGGCTGTGGGGGGGCGAATGCTGAGAGACAGTGACATGGGGCTGTGGGTGGGGGGTGCTGACAGGGACATGGGTGGGGGGCTGAGAGACAGGGACGTGGGGGTGGGGGGGCTGAGAGACAGGGACATGGGTGGCTGGGCTGAGAGACAACGACGTGGGGGGGCTGAGAGACAGGGACGTGGGGCTGGGAGTGGGGGGGCTGAGAGACAGAGAAATGGTGGGGTGGGGGAGTGTGTGACTGAATTGTTAGGCTCACTCGAAGGGGCTCCTGAGAGAAGTCACCCTGCTCTTAGTGTCCAGGAGAGCAGGGCGGGGGGTGGGGGGTGAGAGCAGGGCGGGGGTGGGGGGAGAGCAGGGCAGGGGGAGAGCAGGGTGGGGGGGGTGAGCAGGGCGGGGGGGTGAGCAGGGCGGGGGGTGGGGGGTGAGAGCAGGGCAGGGGGAGAGCAGGGCGGGGTGAGCAGGGCGGGGGGGGTGAGCAGGGCGGGGGGGGTGAGCAGGGCGGGGGGGTGAGCAGGGCGGGGGGGGAGTGAGCAGGGCGGAGCAGGGCGGGGGGGAGAGCAGGGCGGGGGGGGGAGAGCAGGGCGGGGGGGGAGAGCAGGGCGGGGGGGGAGAGCAGGCGGGGGAGTGAGCAGGGCGGGGGGAGAGCAGGGCGGGGGGGAGAGCAGGGGGGGGGGGAGCAGGGGGGGGGGGGGGGGGGAGAGGCGGGGGGGGGGGGGGGGAGGAGCAGGGCGGGGGGGGGGGGGGAGAGCAGGGCGGGGGGGCGGGGGGGGGAGCAGGGCGGGGGGGAGAGCAGGGCGGGGGGGGAGAGCAGGGCGGGGGGGAGTGAGCAGGGCGGGGGGAGTGAGCAGGGCGGGGGGGGAGAGCAGGGCGGGGGGGGAGAGCAGGGCGGGGGGGGAGAGCAGGGCGGGGGGGGAGTGAGCAGGGCGGGGGGGAGTGAGCAGGGCGGGGGGGAGAGCGGGCGGGGGGGGGAGAAGGGGGGGGGGGGGAGAGCAGGGGGGGGGGGAGAGCAGGGCGGGGGGGAGTGAGCAGGGCGGGGGGGAGGAGCAGGGCGGGGGGGGGAGCAGGGCGGGGGGGGAGAGCAGGGCGGGGGGGAGTGAGCAGGGTGGGGGGGGAGAGCAGGGCGGGGGCGGGGGTGAGTAAAGCTGACAGTGTCACTGTACTGCTGTTGTGAGGGTGGAAACCCACCTGTCAGGACTTGTTGACGGGACACGGCCTGTAACCCCACATTGCTCCACTGACCACAGTGACGTCACATTACCCACTATCTGAATGGGCTCAGAGAGGGGATTTCTGTGCTCCAAGTACCAGCCAAGAAAATAATCTTTCTCTCTCTCTTTCCCTCACATTCTCTCTTTCCGTCTCTTTCCCTCAAATACATTGTCCACTGGCACCGTTGCCATCCCTTTAAAAACAGCCGCCATCACTCCTATCCTTAAAAAACCTTTCCTGGACCCATTCCTGCTCTCAAACTACCATCCCATCTCCAACCTCTCCTTCCTCTCCAAGATTGTGGAACGAGTTGTTGCTTCCCAGCTTCGTTCCTTTCTCTCCCACCAAGGAAGGAACCCCTCCAGTCGGGTTTCCGTGCCGCCCACAGCACAGACACCACCTGGTCAAAGTGACAAATGACATTCTGTCCATCTGCGACCAGGGCTCCCTCTGCCTCCTCGTCCTCCTCGACCTCTCTGCTGCCTTTGATACTGTTGACCACTCTATCCTCATCCACTGCCTCTCCTCTCACCTCAACCTTCACGGCTCGGTCCTTGACTGGTTCAGATCGTACCTCTCCACTTCATCTCCAAAAACGGCTTCTCTTCTAGTCCACACACCGTGTTGTGCGGCGTTCCTCAGGGCCTTGGTACGTCCTTCCAACGTAAAAGGCGCTATACAATTGTAATTTTGTATTGTTTTCTTTCTCTCTGACTATTCCACTCCTCTATCAGTGTTCTCTTTGCCTGTCAGTCGCTTTTGCATTGATGGCTGTCCTCGGTCCCCTCCTCTTCAATACCTACACGCTCCCTCTTGGTGACATCCTCCGCAGACATGGGGTTAACTTCTACATGAATGCAGATGACACCCAACTCTATCTGTCAGCCTTTTTGCCTCCACCCTTTGGAACTCCATCCCACATTCCCTTCGCCTCGCTCCCTCTCTTGCCTCATTGAAGGTGCATCTCAAAGCCCTCCTCTCGGTCCGCGCCCTCTTACCCTCCCTGCCCTCCATCCTCCTCGATCCCGAACCCCAGCTTGAGTCCAAATCCCTGACTGTCCAGCACCTTGGGATGTCCTCCCGAAGTGAAAGTCGCTCTGCGACTATTCCTCTCACTCTCAGTCAGTGTTCGCTCTGCCTCCCGGCCTTGCTTCTTTGATGGCTGTTAAGCGCCCTGCAGCTGCTGCTTAAGTTGCTGCTGTTGCTCCCAGGTTAAGTGCTGTTCCCGGCTAATGAGAGATTTGTGTTTGGGGACTGAGGTGATGTGTGAGGTGCGGGCAGAGCGGTGGCAGATGATTAGAGTGTGAGATGGGCTGAGTTAAGAGGCTGCCAGAAGCCAGTTGTGTGTAAATTGCTGGGGCTGAGACCAGCGGTGTGTGCTGTTACTGACATCCCAGAGGATTGCCATGTGGCTGCCCTCAGCCTTCATGTGACAATCACACACAAAGTGGTCAGGATTAAAGCTGATTTGCTACAGAACGTTCGGTGCTGAGTGTTAGCACTGCTCTTACCCGTTGTTACTGTTATTATACATTGAGTACACATATACAGAGTGAGACACAGTGTGTGAGAATAGTGAGACACTGTGTGTGTGTGTGCGCAGTGAGACACTGTGTGTGCGCAGTGAGACACTGTGTGTGCGCAGTGAGACACTGTGTGCGCAGTGAGAGACTGTGCACAGTGAGACACTGTGTTTGCGCAGTGAGACACTGTGTGTGTGAGCAGTGAGACACTGTGTGTGTGAGGAGTGAGACACTGTGTGTGAGGAGTGAGACACTGTGTGTGCGCAGTGAGACACTGTGTGTGCGCAGTGAGACACTGTGTGCGCGCAGTGAGACACTGTGTGTGTGAGCAGTGAGACACTGTGTGTGAGGAGTGAGACACTGTGTGTGCGCAGTGAGACACTGTGTGTGAGGAGTGAGACACTGTGTGTGAGGAGTGAGACACTGTGTGTGCGCAGTGAGACACTGTGTGTGAGGAGTGAGACACTGTGTGTGCGGAGTGAGACACTGTGTGCGCAGTGAGACACTGTGTGTGTGAGCAGTGAGACACTGTGTGTGTGAGCAGTGAGACACTGTGTGTGTGAGAGAGGTGAGACACTGTGTGCACAGTGAGACACTGTGTGTGAGAGAGGTGAGACACTGTGTGCGCAGTGAGACACTGTGTGTGTGAGAGAGGTGAGACACTGCGGACAGAACGCCCTCCTCACTAGTCTCCCCTCCTCCACAATTCCCCCTCCCCATGGTTAGAGGAGGTGCACGTATATGCGTGAGAAGGTGTGTGCGTTAGAGGGGGTATGTATGTGTGAGGGTGGGTGAAGGTGGCTGTGTGTGTGAGAGGGTGTGTGTATGTAGCTGTGTGTGTGAGAGGGTGTGTGTATGTAGCTGTGTGTGTGAGAGGGTGTGTGTATGTAGCTGTGTGTGTGAGAGGGTGTGTGTATGTAGCTGTGTGTGTGAGAGGGTGTGTGTATGTAGCTGTGTGTGTGAGAGGGTGTGTGTACGTATGTGTGTGTGCGGGTGTGTGTATGAGAGGGTGTGTGAGTGTGGGTTCTCAACAACAAAGAACAGCACTGCATAATAACATCATATTGTATTTTATACCCTCCCAACCTCCCCCCTGACCACCCCCCCCATCCTCCCCCCCCATCCTCCCCCCCATCCTCCCCCTGACCTCCCCCCAACACCCCCCCCATCCTCCCGCCTGACCACCCCCCCCATCCTCCCCCTGACCACCCCCCCAACACCCCCCCATCCTCCCCCCCAACACCCCCCCATCCTCCCCCTGACCACCCCCCATCCTCCCCCTGACCTCCCCCCAACACCCCCCCATCCTCCCCCTGACCCCCCCAACACCCCGCACATCCTCCCCCCTGACCTCTGACCTCCCCCCAACACCGCCCCCCATCCTACCCCCTGACCCCCCCCCAACACCCCCCCCAACCTCCCCCCTGCCCCCCCCCCCCCCCCGATGGTCTTGCCTTCTCCCCTTTCCATGCAGACATTCCCATTATCCCGGACCTGGAGGATGTGCAGGAGGAGGATCTCGCGATGCAGGTGGCCGCTCCCCCAAGGTACTGCCCCGCCAGGTACTCCCTCCCCCCAGGGTGGGGAGGTGTGTGTGTGGGGGGGGGGGGGGAGGTGTGTGTGTGGGGTCAGGTGTGTGTGTGGGGTCAGGTGTGTGTGTGTGGGGTCAGGTGTGTGTGTGTGTGTGTGGGGTCAGGTGTGTGTGTGTGTGTGTGTGTGGGGTCAGGTGTGTGTGGGGTCAGGTGTGTGTGTGGGGGAGGGGAAGCGCGCGCGTGGGGGAAGTGCGCGCACGTGGGAGGGAAGTGCGCGCGCGGGGCGGGGGTGCGCGGGGTGGGAGGTGTAGTGTGGGGGTTGTGTGTGGGGTGTGGGGGTTGTGTGTGGGGTGTGGGGGGTTGTGTGTGGGGTGGGGGGGGTTGTGTGTGGGGTGGGGGGGTTGTGTGTGGGGTGGGGGGGGTTGTGTGTGGGGTGGGGGGGGTTGTGTGTGGGGTGGGGGGTGTGTGTGGGTGGGGGGGCTGTGTGTGGGGTGGGGGGGTATGTGTGGGGTGGGGGGGATGTGGGGGGGGGGGCTGTGTGTGGGCTGGGGGGGCTGTGTGTGGGCTGGGGGGGCTGTGTGTGGGCTGGGGGGCTGTGTGTGGGCTGGGGGGGCTGTGTGTGGGCTGGCGGGGGCTGTGTGTGGGCTGGGGGGCTGTGTGGGCTGGGGGGGCTGTGTGTGGGCTGGGGGGGCTGTGTGTGGGCTGGGGGGCTGTGTGTGGGCTGGGGGGGCTGTGTGTGGGCTGGGGGGCTGTGTGTGGGCTGGGGGGCTGTGTGTGGGCTGGGGGGGCTGTGTGTGGGGTGGGGGGGCTGTGTGTGGGTGGGGGGGCTGTGTGTGGGGTGGGGGGCTGTGTGTGGGGTGGGGGGGCTGTGTGTGGGGTGGGGGGGCTGTGTGTGGGGTGGGGGGGCTGTGTGTGGGGTGGGGGGGCTGTGTGTGGGGTGGGGGGCTGTGTGTGGGGTGGGGGGGCTGTGTGTGGGGTGGGGGGGCTGTGTGTGGGGTGGGGGGCTGGTGTGGGGTGGGGGGCTGTGTGTGGGGTGGGGGGCTGTGTGTGGGGTGGGGGGGCTGTGTGTGGGGGGGGGGCTGTGTGTGGGTGGGGGGCTGTGTGTGGGTGGGGGGCTGTGTGTGGGGGGCTGTGTGTGGGGTGGGGGGCTGTGTGTGGGGTGGGGGGGTTGTGTGTGGGGTGGGGGGGCTGTGTGTGGGGTGGGGGTGCTGTGTGTGGGGTGGGGGGGTGTGTGTGGGGTGGGGGGGTTGTGTGTGGGGAGGTGTGACCCCCCCCTCCCTCTCTGCTCAGTATTCAGGTGAACAGAGTGATGACGTACCGTGACCTGGACAATGATCTGATGAAATACGCAGCTTTTCAGACTCTGGTGAGTCTTTAGCCCAACAGCACAGGGAGGGGGGCTGTCTGGGGGTGGGGGGGCGCGTGGTTCGGGGGGCATGGTGTGTGGGGTGGGGGCCGGTGGGGGGGTGCTAATGGGGGGTGGTATGCGGGGGGTGCTAGTGGGGCGGTTTGGGGTGGGGTTGCTAGTGGGGGGGGGTTCTGGGAGTGGGGGTGTAGTGGTGAGAGCTGCTGAGGTGTTGCTGTGTCTCCACAGGATGGAGAGATCGATCTGAAGTTACTGACCAGAGTCCTGTCAGCTGAGCAGGAAGTGAGAGAGGTGAGAGGGTATGTCAGCAATGGGAGGGTCTGCACACAGACATTGTGTGCTCCTGTGTGTGTGTTCCTGTGTGTGTGCTCCTGTGTGTGTGTGTGTGTGTTTGTGTGACTGGGTGTGCAATTTACTGGGGGCTGTGGCTTGATGTGTGTGTGGGGTGTGATTGCCGGGGCCTATGGCTGTGTGGGGGGGGGCGTGGCTGTGTGGGGGTGGGGCCGTGGCTGTGTGGGGGGGCCGTGGCTGTGTGGGGGGGGCCGTGGCTGTGTGGGGGGGGGCGTGGCTGTGTGGGGGGGGCCGTGGCTGTGTGGGGGGGCCGTGGCTGTGTGTGGGAGGGCCGTGGCTGTGTGGGGGGCCGTGGCTGTGTGTGGGAGGGCCGTGGCTGTGGGGGGGGCCGTGGCTGTGTGGGGGAGGGCCGTGGCTGTGTGGGGGGGGGCCGTGGCTGGGGGGGGGGGGGGCTGTGGCTGTGGGTGTGACTCACTGGGCTGTGGCTGTGGTGGGTTACAGGAGGACGAGAGCTGGGACTGGGAGCTGCTGTTCACTGAAGTGGCCTCTGATCTGCTGATGGAGTGTGACGATGGTGCGGGTCAGGGCGAAGAGGACCCCAAACAGCTGTCCCTGCAGGGCTGAGCCTGACCACTGACCTTTCCTTTTCCGTGTGTATAATGTCCTGTGTTATTAATGTTACTGTAATCAAATATCAAATACAATTAGATTTTCAGATATCTGTTCCCATCCTCACTTAGCTACGCGGGGGGGGGAGAGGGGTTGGGGGGGCAATGGCAGAACTAGCACCAACGTGGCTAGTAATACTGAGCCAACACCGTGGGGCACGCCGGGGGAATGGGGAGGGGATGCGTCAGTGGCACTGAGTCAGGCGTGGGTGGGGGGCTATGGTGTGGCACTGGGCCAGGCCTTGCGGGGACAGTGGCGCTGAGCCAGGCCTCGGTGGGGGGCGATGGGAGGGAGGGGGGGCACTGAGCCAGGCCTTGTGTGGCTGTATATGAGGCAGTGCTGACAGGCAGGCGCTGGGCAGCAGATAGCATCGCAGCTCGCCAGTGATCTGTTCGGAATTTCATTAAATCTTCTCGCAGATGCCGTTCAGCTACGTTCAGGGGTAATTGCTGGAATGTTCCGCTCTCGCTGGCCATCGTGTTGCAGCTCCCGCCCGGGCTCAGGCCCCAACGGCTACACCCTCTGTCCTGTTCTCACCAAGTGGCTGTGAGGGCGGGTGGTGAGAGAGGGTGAGCAGTATATTAATAATAATAATAATAATAATAATCCTTGCATTTAATAGAGCGCCTTGTTGAGATGTCTCTCAATGCTCCACAGAATTCACTGCAAAATGGAGTGACCATATACCTTGTGGGCGAAACGCGGCAGCCAATTGCGCACGGCAGTGTCCCCCCCCCCCCCCCAGACACACACACACACACACGCACAGCCGTGGATCGAGTGACCACATTATTATCATTAATATTTTTTGTAGGGATTATTACTCCCAAGAGCGATCCTGCAATCGACCAACAACCGGGCTGCTACTCACCTCAGTGTGCGTGTGTGTGTGTGTGTGCGTGTGGAGTAAAGAAGCTTGCTTAAGGTTTCACCCTGACCTGCCCGGGTTGTGTGTGTGTGGAGTGGGGGGAGGCTTGTGGGGTGGGGGGGGGGGGTGGGGTTGGCGTGACAAGCTTTCACTGCAGTAACAGAGTCTCCACAGTGTTTGACACCCAGGTTTCAGGGTACGGTAAAGGTGATGGAGCCTGTTCGCTGACGCCCAGGTCCATGTGACAGATGCTGGGACAGATGTGAGGGAATCATTACCCCATCGTGCAGCTGTGCGAGCCCCCCGGCTCGCACAGCTGCACGATGGGGTAATGATTCCCTCACATCTGTCCCAGCATCTGTCACATGGACCTAGGCGTGTCTCACAGACTGACACATCTTTCAATCATCCCTCTCGCTCTTTTTCTGCTCTTATCTTCTCTCCCCCCGTCTCCACCTCTCAGTTCTTGCTCTCGCTCCCCTCGTTCTCTCTCTCATCCCGTCTCTCATTCTTTCGCTCTCTCGGTGAGCTTTCCAACCCCTCCCCCCGCCCCCCCCCCCCCCCCCCGCTTGAAGGGCATTATGTAAACGCAAGTTCTCTCGCTCGTGTCCTCTCTCTCTCTCTCTGCTCTCTTGTTCTGTCGCTCTCTCTCTCTCTGCTCACTTGTTCTGTCGCTCTCTCTCTCTGCTCTCTTGTTCTCTCTCTCTGCTCTCTTGTTGTGTCTCTCTCTCTCTCTCTGCTCTCTTGTTCTGTCTCTCTCTCTCTGCCTCTCCTCTTCTCTCTGTCTCTGGCTCACTCGTTCGCTCTCTCTGCTCTCTTGTTCTGTCTCTCTCTCTCTCTCTCTCTCTCTGCTCTCTTGTTCTGTCTCTCTCTCTCTCTCTGCCTCTCCTCTTGTTCTCTCTGTCTCTGGCTCACTTGTTCGCTCTCTCTGCATGTGCAGGAATGTTTGAGCTGCTCACACCACACTGAATGCGCTGGCACCATATCATTCTCCATCTCTCCTCTTATTTTTCCTTATCTTCAGACAGCCAATAATTGTCTTTTAATTAAAGTGCAGAGATTTGGAGATAGAGAGCTAACAGACAGGCGGGAAAGTGCAGAAAGAGGAATGACAGAGAGCAAGAGAGGCCGAGGCCAAAGAGATATTTCCACCGTGCACTGCCCGAGAACCCGAGACACCAACATTGTCCGAGCCAATCTCACAGGCATCAGCCCGAGAGCATTCACTACAGTTCATGAGCATCTCACCCACACAGTAAGGAGCTTGGACCTGAATCCTGACCTCAAATGTATCTTCTCTGCCCCAGTCACAGCAGCAAAGTGTACAGTGCAATCAGAAAGGCCAAATCCTCCATCAGGCCCTCCCTTCACAGCCAAACCCAGCAGTACTGCATTGTCGGGGATGCTGCCCTTTGGACAAGACGTTAAACCGAGGCCCTGCCTTTAATAATGGACACAGCGCCTTATCATGTTTTCGAGACGTCTCAAAGCGCTTCGCAGAATATTTGTGGGCGAAATGCAGCAGCCAATTGCGCACAGCAGCGTCCCACAAACAGTCGTGGGTTGAAGTGACCAAATTCTTATTATTTTTTTGAAGGAATTATTACCCCTGGAAAGTGATCCACCAGTCAACTAACAAATGGGTTCCTACTTACTACGAGGTAAACAGACGTGCGGAGTAACCTGCCTAATGTCTTGCCCTGCCAGGAATTGAACCCAGGTCCTCTCGCTTGTGATGTGAGTTCAGTAACCACTGAGCTGCAGGACTCGAACAGTAACTTGTTGACGTGCTGTGGTGCAGCAGGTTCGGAGCTGCCAACTGGTGAAATAACCAAAAGGAGACAAGTTGCCTTTCCTCCCTGTGACAGGAGGCCTTAGTGACGTGTGTGATATGAGGGGAGGGGAGTGGGGAGGGGTGAGGATGTCCGAGCGATGAGGGACCTGCCACAAGCTGTAACACACAGGTTGGGAGTGAGATGTCTCACTAGTCGGTCACTTTGTTTCATCGTGATTCTGGGCCACATTAATCAGTCCGGCAGCATCGGGTGTCACTGGCCGGCAGGAACACATGGTGAGTAAGCAGAGTTACATTGACGCACAGTCTCACATACACACACACATACATCACACGTAACACACAGTCACACCCGGTCTCACGTCACACGCAGTCACACACTGTTACACGTGACATGCAGCCATACACGACACTCAGCCATATGCTGTCACATGCTGTCACACGTGACACAGCCACACTCGACATGCCATGACACGCAGCCCGCAGCCACGCGCGTCACGCCATCACATGCAACACGCCGTCACGCGGTCAAGCGCCATCACTATTTGATTTGCAGATACTTAAGTATAGTGATTGGTTCCACGTGCAGCAGGAACCAGCACACACAGCGCACACCGCGCACACCGCCCACCACACACACCGCCTACCACGCACACCGCACACCGCTACACCGCGCACCGCCCACCACTACACCGCGCACCGCCCACCACGCACACTGCCCACCACGCGCACCGCCCACCACACACACCGCCCACCGCGCACCGCCCACCACGCACACCGCGCACCGCCCACTGTGCACACCGCCCACCACGCACACCACCCACCACACACACCTCCCACCACGCACACCGCCCACTGTACACACTACTCACTACGTACATTGCCCACAATACACTGGTTACTACATACCCACAGTAAAGCTCCCTCCACACTGTGCGTCCACACTCCCAGGTCAGGGTTAGAGACACAGTAACGCTCCCTCCACACTGTGCGTCCACACTCCCAGATCAGGGTTAGAGACACAGTAACGCTCCCTCTACACTGTGTCCACACTCCGAGGTCAGGGTTAGAGACACAGTAAAGCTCCCTCCACACTGTGCGTCCACACTCCCAGGTCAGGGTTAGAGACACAGTAACGCTCCCTCCACACTGTGCGTCCACACTCCCAGGTCAGGGTTAGAGACACAGTAAAGCTCTCTCTACACTGTGCGTCCACACTCCCAGGTCAGGGACTGCATGGGTTAGACACAGAGTAAAGTTGCTGAGTGATTGAGTGTGTGTTAGTGTGTTTGATGTGATGTTTAGAGAGAGAGAGAGTGAGATGAGGCGGAATGTAGATAGATGAGACCAAAAGAAAGATGAAAAGGCAAATATTTCAGAGAGATAGAGCAATGGAGAGAACAATTTGAGTGTGGTGGAGGAAGTGAGCAGAGAACATGGACTGGTGACGAGTTATTTCCTTGATACTTTCTGGTACAGATAAAACCAATTCATAACCTTGTGTAAGGAGGACGATGGCAGACCCTGGCCACGTGTGTTGAGGGAGTAATGTGACTGCAGAACATGGGAGCTGTCAGAGTGTGAGACCTACTCCAAACTCTTTCTGCTCCTTTGCTTTCTGCTCTTGTTAGAGAGAGAATAATCCCACGTCTGATTTAGTTGCCAAATACGAGAAGGAGCAATTATTGAGGTGATCAGCGGTGTCTCAGGGCCAGGGGTTGGGCTGATGGGCTGTGCTGAGGAGAGGGTGAAGAGAGAGAGAGGGAGAGAGGGAGTGAGGCAGTGTCTGATCAGCTGCTAATCACCAGTTGGAATTTGAGGCAACAGTCTGTTGTGTTGCTTTGGACAGTGCTGTGTGTGTGTGTCCAGTAGGGTTCAGTGCTCTGTGTGTGTTCAGTAGGGGTCAGTGCTCTGTGTGTGTTCAGTAGGGGTCAGTCCTCTGTGTGTGTCCAGTAGGGGTCAGTGCTCTGTGTGTGTCCAGTAGGGGTCAGTGCTCTGTGTGTGTCCAGTAGGTGTCAGTGCTCTGTGTGTGTGCAGTAGGGGTCAGTGCTCTGTGTGTGTCCAGTAGGGGTCCGTGCTCTGTGTGTGTCCAGTAGGGGTCCGTGCTCTGTGTGTGTCCAGTAGGGGTCAGTGCTCTTGTGTGTGTCCAGTAGGGGTCAGTGCTCTGTGTGTGTCCAGTAGGGGTCCGTGCTCTGTGTGTGTCCAGTAGGGATCAGTGCTCTGTGTGTGTCCAGTGGGGGCAGTGATGTGTGTGTCCAGTGGGGGCAGTGCTGTGTGTGTGTATCCAGTGGGAGCAGTGCTGTGTGTATCCAGTGGGGGCAGTGCTGTGTGTGTGTATCCAGTGGGGGCAGTGCTGTGTGTGTGTGTGTGTGTGTTTATCCAGTGGGGGCAGTGCTGTGTGTGTGTATCCAGTGGGGGCAGTGCTGTGTATGTGTGTATCCAGTGAGGGCAGTGCTGTGTGTGTGTGACCAGTGGAGGGCAGTGTTGGTGCAGGATGGGGAGGCTGTATGTGTTGGGGGGGGGGGGGGGTGGGCTGTGAGTGTGGGGTTTGTGTGAGTGGGAACTGTGTGTGGGGAGGGGGGCTGTTTGTGGGGGGAGGCCTATGCGTTTGTGTGTGTGTGTGTGGGGGGGGGGGGGGGGGGGGCTGTGTGTATGTGGGGGGGGGGGGGGTTGGTGTGGGTGTGTCAGGCAGTAAAGGGTGATGTGGGACTCCTCTCTCCTCTCTCCTCTCTCCTCCCTCCCTCCCTCCCTCCCTCCCTCACTCACTCACTCAGTGTAAATGAAGCACTATCTGTGAGGGAGTCAGCTCTGCGCTAAACTCGCCCGATGGCTGATAATAAATGAAGACAGACCACTTTTCTATCCCCTTCCATCTACATCGTGTGCGCTGGCTGCCTTTCATTATCTGCTTAACACGCCGGAGAAAATTACTTAACCCTGACCTGTGTGTATGAAGCACTATTAATGCCACACAAAGGCGTTTTATAGCCAGCCTCAATCTATTTGAAAGGAAAGAGACTCCTTTTCTTGTCATTTTCCAATCTCAGCTACACACACACACATCATTAAACTTGTCTCCCGCTCCTCTCGCTGTCACTCAGTGCAGCAGCTAAATAATCGCCCAGCCCCGGGCGAGCAACACCGCCTCACAGGGTGTCCTCCCAGAGCAGGCGCTGGGCCTGACCGCTGAGGGTGCTAAACGCCCAAGGCCACCTCACTCAGGCCACCTCTCCTGACACCCAGTTCTAATGCAGGGCTCAGCATTTCAGGGAATCTCTCCCCAAAACACAACAAACCTGAATTGGATAAATTGTTTGAGTGATGTTTGAGCTGCTCACTGGCATTCGGTGTGTGGGAAGTATTTGAGGTTTGTGTGGTGAAGGGAATTCCATGTTTGGTGACTAACGTGAGGACTGGGACAATGGGATGAAACAGATTGAAACGAGCTTCAGGTGACAGATTCACATGGTCCTGTTTGGAAGTTGACCATTTCACTGTAATTATAGGTTTCAGTAATTTATCTGATGTAAAAGGTGAGGTGGTCACTGTGGCCGCACAAATCTTTCCGGGCTGTGCAGCAACTACAGCAACAGTGACCGCTTCTCAGCCTTTTGGCTAAGATCAAGTGCAGTTCCTGTTCACATCAGTTCACATTACTCCTTGAGCTAACAACATGGGGAATGTTCATCTCCTGTTGAGATTCTCTCGTGTTGTCACCAGGATCCAACCTGACTCCGAACTGGACATGGGAAGGACTCAGCTCTTGGCTACAGATAGGTTGTCCTCCCTCTGTTGGTTAGGGTCGGCATTGCAGGAGTGTGATCTGCCCTCACAAAGAAAGGGGAGGCACTCAAACCACTTGAGCCCCTGGTCACAAGGTTCAGGCCGGGCCGGGCCGGGCTTGCCCTGGAAGAGAGGTCATAGAATTATACAGCACAGAAGGAGGCCATTCGGCCCATCGTGTCTGTGCCGCTCTTTGAAAACAGCTTCCAAATCAACCCCACTTCCCCGCTCTCTCCCCATAGCCCTGATCAACCCCACTCCCCCGCTCTCTCCCCATAGCCCTGATCAACCCCACTCCCCCGCTCTCCCCCCATAGTCCTGATCAACCCCACTCCCCCGCTCTCCCCCCCCATAGCCCTGATCAACCCCACTCCCCCGCTCTCTCCCCATAGCCCTGATCAACCCCACTCCCCCGCTCTCCCCCCATAGTCCTGATCAACCCCACTCCCCCGCTCTCTCCCCATAGTCCTGATCAACCCCACTTCCCCGCTCTCCCTCCATAGCCCTGATCAACCCCACTCCCCCGCTCTCCCCCCATAGTCCTGATCAACCCCACTCCCCCGCTCTCTCCCCATAGCCCTGATCAACCCCACTCCCCCGCTCTCTCCCCATAGCCCTGATCAACCCCACTCCCCCGCTCTCCCCCCATAGTCCTGATCAACCCCACTCCCCCGCTCTCCCTCCATAGCCCTGATCAACCCCTCTCCCCCCATAGCCCTGCAAACTTGTCCTCCCCAAATAATTATCCACTTCTCTCTTAAAAGTTGTTATCGAATCGGCTTCCTCGCTTTCCAGATCTCAACAACTCGCTGTGTAAAAATAAATGCCTGAAAAACTATTGTTTACGTTTACAACAGAGAGAGAATAGGGTTACAGTAGAGAGCTCCAGTGGAGGAGCGAGCCCCAGCACAGATATGATGGGGAGAGAGAGCAGGGATTGGGGTTAGAGATTTCATATCCGACCTATCCTTCTACGTCAATGCCTTTGCTCCCGGGCTCTCCCTAAATCTCTCCGCTGCTCTCTTGCTCACCCAGTTTCTCTGCTTGCATTATATGGCTGGCAATCAGGAGTTCTGTGGGTGATGTTAATGATACTGATCCTTGCATTTGATATAGCATCTTCGAGACGTCTCAAAGCGCTTCACAGAGTATACTGTAAAGTCAATTGGGCTGTATTTTGTAGGCAAAACGTGGCAGCCAATTGTGCCCAGCAGCGTCCCACAAACAGTCATGGTTTGAGTTGCCCTTTTTTTTAAAGGAATTATTACCCCTGGGAAAGCGATCCACCAATCGTCTAACAAGCGGGTTCCTACTCACTGCAGGTAAACAGAGGCGTGTGGAGTAAGGAAACTTGCCTGAGGTTTCACCCTGTCCAGGCATCGAACCCGGGTCCTCTCACTTGCGAGGCAAGTGCGGTAACCACTGAGCTACAGGAATCCACAGGTCCGTGTTTTGCAGGTGACTGATAGCAGGAGGGCAAATGAACGTCCTCTGGAAGGAGAGAGAAACGGTCCCGTCTTCTCTCCCATTGACTAAAGCCCGATTGCTCCCCTCACTCCCCTGGTGACTCTCTGCTGAGCACAGATAGCCCTGCTCTTTACTTTAATTATTTCTTACAGCTTTAACTTAATGTTGTCTTTTCAATAAGCTCATTTTCTTGATGGAAATCTTAATATTTAGCATTGAGAATTACATCATCAAGTCTCTGACAATACTGAGTGCAAATTAATTTTCTGCTGATTGAATTACCGGCTGCTCAATGGATCCAGGGTATTTTTGTGTTAGCTTCACTGGCGAGTTATTATTTCTGCTGTGAGATAAGAGACACATGTCTGGAAGGGAATGGCTGGCCCTAATACAAATGTTAGTACAAGTTTATTATACAAAAGGCCTCCGATTATCATTTCATTAAAAGCTTTTACACTTAGAGTTTATCAACTAGCTCCATTAATGGGACTGATCCATCTCCAAGAGGGTAACTTCTAACCTTTGTCCATCTCCCTGCTGCCCCGCTTGGGATCCAGGTCAGCGGAGCAGAGGGTCTCAGTCTGCAGGGGAGCGAGCACCAGCACAGACACGATGGGCTGAATGGGCTTCTCTAATGCTGTGAATGTTCTGTACAGAGAAGCCTCCAGAGAAGTCATTCCCTAAATGTGTAAAATAACACAAATACAAATCTAAAACTCGAGACTCCTGTGCTATTCTCTGCTTTACCTTCCCTCGACCCAGTCCTGTTCCCTCACTCCTGCCCCACCTGTAGCCCTCCTTTCCTCGCCAAGTTACTGGAACAAGTCGCAGCTTCCCAACTTGGCCCTGTCCACTCCCACTAACTCTCCAATCCTGCTTCTGTGCTGCCCACAGTCCAGAGACAGCCCTGGTCAAAGACACAAATGATGTTCTCTCACTCTGGGACCAGGGCTCTCAGGCTCCTCAACCTTCTTGACCTCTTTGTCTCCTTTGACCCAGTTAGCCTTCTATCCTCCTATACCTTTCCTCCCCCTCCCCTGTCTCAGATCCCCCCCCACCCCCCGCCTGGTTTAATTCTTACCGTCTCCACTTTATATCTACGAACAGCTTCTCCTGCCTTCACACCAACACGTGCGGCATTCCTCAGTGCTTTGTCCTTGGTCCTGTCCTCTCTAATATTTACATGCTCCCGCTTGGCGATGTCATCCACAGGCATGGGATTAACTTCCACATGTATGCGGATGACACCCAACTCTATTTCTCTGCCTCCATCCTTGACCCCAGGACCACTGCTGTCCTGACCGATTGTTTGTTGAACATCAAGTGCTGAATGACAGCTAACTTTCTACAGTTGAATGTCGACACGACAAAGGCCCTCCTGCTTGGCTCCCATCAGTGCCTTGTCACCTCGGGAACTGACAGCATCAATTTACGTGGATGCACACCCCACCAAGGTCCTGGTGTGTGCCTGGCCCTCATGTGATGTGCTGGGCTGTATTGTCCTGTGCTGGGCTGTATTGTGCTGGGCTTGTTGGGTTGTGCTGGGCTGTGTTGTGCTGAACAGTGCCCGTTGCCTTCGTTCTACTGGGTCTGGCCTCCTTCTTGTCCCCTGAGTCCTTCGCTCCACCCTCGGCGGCCGTGCCTTCAGCCACTACGCCCCGAGGTTCTGGAACTCCCTTCCTCACTCCCTTCGCCTCGCTCTCTCTCTTCCTATTTTCAGGTCTCTGCTGAAGACCTTTCTTTTCGACCGCACCTTTGGTCACCTTCCCCCCCCCTCCCCCTGACTCGGCCTCGGGATCGTTACTGTGAAGCTCTGAGACGCCGTTCAGCATGGAGGACGCTATATAAATCCAAGTTTTTGTTGTGTTTTGCTAGGCTGTGTTGTGCTGGGCTGGTCTGTATTGTACTGGGCTTGGCTGTGTTGTGGTAGGCTGTGTTGTACTGGGCTGTGTTGTGCTGGGATGGGCTGTTGTACTGGGATGGGCTGTGTTTTACTGGGCTGTGTTGTGCTGGGCTATGTGGGAACCTGGCTGGTAATCACAGAGGGTGAGTGATGAATATTAAGTTCGAAGGAAACTAAAGCTTCCTACTTGTAAATGACGGTGGGATTTCCTGAGGGACAGGGACTAAATTGCTAATTATTGCCCGTGAAAGGAAGAGCTGCTGATGTGTTTGGGGCTCACTAATAAAGCAGTGTCGAGGCACCAGGCCCCCTGAGCTGCTCACTCCCTCACACAACAATGTGCCTGAGCCACAGGCTGTGCCGGGCCTGAGGGAGAGTGGGCGAGAACTGGGATCTGAGGAGAGAGGCAGCAGCTCACAAATGTGGAGGCGACTGATAACAGCGATGTGGGGACGAGAGACCTTGTCCCCAGGGCTGGTCAGAAATTCACTGCGATTATGGTGCAGATGAGAGAGATTAAATCCCTTTTCTTTTGCTCTTTTATTTCCAGGCTTCATCTCTCCAGGATGAAAGAAGTTCTAAATGACTTTTCTCTCAACTGCACCCGGAGCTGTTTGTGCTTGTTTAACGCTTTGTGCCCAGGTGTGAGGCCAGCCACGTCCACACCCAGAGGGACCTGGTGACACGAGGTCTGCTCCTGTGACTGGGCGATGGCAGGTCGTGTTCAATCACTGAGAGTGTGGGCCACAAGCCCTGGGGCTTCAAGCCCCACATTGGAATAAAAACCGGAGTCACTATTCAGGCAGCATCTATGGAGAGAGGAAAATGAGTTAACGTTTCTGGTCGATGAGCTTTAGTGCAATCTACAATAAAGTAATAAAATTGTCTCATCCTTTCAATATTTACCCAGATTGACACCAAGATTAATTGGAGTGAAGTGACTGTGAAAACTTTGGATTTGAAACTTCCAGCTCAATGTCTGTATCAGTGTCTGTTGTTATTATTGTTCTGTTTTGCACCAAAATTGAAAACTATTGTTTTAAATTCACCTAAAGAAATATACAAAGGTCATCGACCAGAAATGTTACCTCACTTTCCTCTCTCCATCGATGCTGCCTGACCTGCTATGTATTGCACAATCCTCAATCAAAACAACCGGCAGCATATTTACCACAGTTTAACGTTAAGGCTTATATTGTTATTTCCAGATATACTTTGTGTGTCTGACTTTGTTGTCAATGTAACTCAGTGAAAGGTCACTGTTCTATTGCTCTTTCCTCTGTGTTGTTGATCGTACTCGACAGTGCCACCTTGTGCTGTTGGACGGTGGGCGCCCCCTGGTTCAGGCTGAGGCTCTGGTGCTGGAGGGTGTGTTGCGGTTACAGAGACCCCGTCCTTCAGATGAGATGTTAAAGCGAGGTCAGGTCTGCGCCTGGTCAGGTGGGCTCTAAAGATCCCGTGGAAAAGAGAAGGGAGTTTCTCGCGCTCTCCCCCTCCCCTACCCACTCTGTGTCCTGGGCGACAATCTCCCAAATAAGCTTGGTCACCGTTGGTTGGTTGTGGGATATTGTTACATGCAACAACAACAACAACAAAATGACATTTTTATAAAGCCTTTCATGTCGGGAAGGCGTCCAAAAGAGTTGGCCGGTCAGTGTTTCGGACCCTAGCTGGGGGTAGGGATCGGAGAGAGCGGCGGGTGGAAATTGTGCAAGTTGTGTTCACCTACAAACACAGTCACTACTCGGTTGTCAGTCGATTGTTGGATCGCTCTTCTGGGGAATAATAATCAAAATAAAAATATAATAATGGTTTAAAATATACAGTTATTTCATTTTACAGTTTATTCTGTGAAGCGCTTTGACATGATAAGGCGCTATATCAAATGCAAGGGTTATTATTAAATCCTGTGAAGTGCTTTGAGATGTTCTCCTGACGTGAAAGCTGCTGTAAACATGGCAGGATTATTATTATTATTATTATTTGGAGAACAAAATGCCCGAGTAACAAGACACAGGTCCGGGAGCTCCTGTGGGAATAGGAATGGTTCAGCCCACGAGGCTGCACCAGATCTGGTTTTGCTATTGTCAGAGCAGATCCTTTAATCCCATTTCCCTGCCTTTTATTCACACATGTTGACATCTTTACATCCAACCAGCTGTTATGTCCTTTAAACAATCCCAAATGAACTCAGTCCTGCTCCCTCACAAGCCTCTGTACAGAAACTTTCTCTTACTGAGTTCTTTGTCTTTGCTCCACGTTTAAGATTGTGGCTCCTACTTTGGGATCCTCGATCAAACCTTAATTCCTATCATTATTTTACACATCTCACTTTGATCAATCCTTAACTTTAGCTCTAGAGAATATCTCCTGGCTCTCCCAGCCTCTCAGTGTGGCAGACAGGCTCAGTTAGCAACACTCTCTCCTCCGAGTCAGAAGGTTGTGAGTTTGAGCCCCATGTCAGGACTTTGATCTCGCAGTGCAGGCTGACTCTCCAGCCCAGCGCTGGAGGAGTCCTGGATTGTCGGAGGTGACGTTATTCAGATGAGACATTAAATTGAGACACACCTCAACCAACTTCCGTCACCCCCTAATCCATCCCCCGTCACCCCCTCATCACTCCTCACCTGGGGCTGCCAAAGCCTGGCATCAGCCCGAGGTAACCATGGCTGCCCTGGGGGTGGGGTTGGGGGGGGGGGGAGGTCAGGCTGTCAGCTCCAGTTAATCAGGACCAGAGACTGATTAATGACATTGGCTTTGCCTGTTTACAGATCCGCACAGATTTAACACTTGTCACAGTGTGTGAGAGGGCAGCCTCTGACAGGTGCTGAGTGACAGGCCACCCTACACACTGGAGTGGGCACCCACACAGCGATCAGAGGAGAGAGAGACTTACATCACAGAAACACACGAATCACAACCATACACACACTCATCATCCAACATCATGTCAGCACTGACGTTCCTCCAGCGCCCTCGCTCTCTGGGGCTCAGTCACTCCCCCAGAGCTGTACTGGAATGTCAGCCTGGATTGGGGTTCACACCCCGATATGGAGTCTGAACCAGAGGTTAGCAGCTGGAAGGCAACATATTGAGGGGGAGGGAGTGTAATAAGGCACTGTATCAAATACAAGCATTATTATTAATTAATTATTATTGTGTTTGTGCTGGGATTGAAGCTGTCTTGATGGGCGAGCGAGGTTGGGGGCGGGGCAGGACCAGAGTGGGTAAGGGTTGAGTGGGGTTAGGGTCCAGTCAGGTTGACCGACCCTGGATTGCGGGCGTCAGGCCCCATGTTTAAAGCTGTGGAAATGGCGGCAGCTCTGGGACCCAGTTCCTGCCTTAGGCGCTCACTTTCACTCCATTTAATGAGATCTATTAAAAGGAATGACCCCATTCAGTAATGTAATTCTTTTTGTCACAGGAAATAACCTCAGAGCATGAGGGAATGGGATTTAAAGGGGAGGAGCACTGTGTGATTTAAAGGGGAGGGTATCTTCACCACGCTGGTCCTGCCAGCCGAGGGGTGAGGGTGTGGGCGGAGCAATGAGGGAGTGTCCAGGACGAGGGATGGAGTGAGCACCAACACAGACACGATGGGTAGAGAGAGAGAGCAGGGAATGGGGGTAGATAGAGAGCTCCAGTGGGGGAAGCGAGCCCCAGCACAGACACCATAGGGGGAGAGAGAGAGCAGGGAATGGGGTTAGAGTAGAGAGCTCCAGTGGGGGAGCGAGCCCCAGCACAGACACGATGGGGAGAGAGAGAGAGCAAGGAATGGGGGTAGAGTAGAGAGCTCCAGTGGGGGAGCGAGCCCCAGCACAGACACGATGGAGAGAGAGAGAGAGCAAGGAATGGGGGTAGAGTAGAGAGCTCCAGTGGGGGAGCGAGCCCCAGCACAGACACGATGGGGAGAGAGAGAGCAAGGATTGGGGGTAGAGTAGAGAGCTCCAGTGGGGGAGCGAGCCCCAGCACAGACACCATGGGGAGAGAGAGAGAGAGCAGGGAATGGGGTTAGAGTAGAGAGCTCCAGTGGGGAGTGAGCCCCAGCACAGACACCATGGGGAGAGAGCAGGGAATGGGGTTAGAGTAGAGAGCTCCAGTGGGGGAGCGAGCCCCAGCACAGACACGATGGGGAGAGAGAGAGAGCAGGGAATGGGGTAGAGTAGAGAGCTCCAGTGGGGGAGCGAGCCCCAGCACAGACACGATGGAGAGAGAGAGAGAGCAAGGAATGGGGGTAGAGTAGAGAGCTCCAGTGGGGAGCGAGCCCCAGCACAGACACCATGGGGAGAGAGAGACCCGGTGAGAGAGGCAGCGCGGGGTGGGGTGGGGGGGGGGGGGGGTGGGTGGGGACGGAAGGAGAGGGGCGGGGCTGGAGGTCCGAGCCAGTCCTCCAGCCCCGCCCCCTTTCCCGTCGCTCAACGCGCAACCTCACGGGGCAGAGCGCGGGAAGGGAGCCTCGGCCGGGAGTCAGCGACAGAGAGAGAGAGAGAGAGCGGGCGCCATGTCTGGCAGCACTCCTGGCTTCAGAGACCCCCCCCCGTTGGGCGCGGGCCCCGGTGTTGCCCTCAGGCCCCCACCCGAGCTCCGTGAAGGCGCTGGGGGGGGGGGGTCGGGGGGGGGGGGGAGGGGACGCCGTTTCCGGGGACGCCGCAGTCCGCAATCGGCTGCCACCCTTCGCCCCGACGAGGAAGACGACGACGAGGACGAGGACGCGCACAAGTCCACTCGCCGCACTCCAGGGGATATCCTGTGGGGCGTCTTCGAGGACGTGATGCGACACGAGCGGCCCGTGTCCGAATGCGAGGGATTATTATTAATCACCGCGACCGTTACCCCGAGCGGCGCCGGAAACACGGCGAGGCGGGCGGCGGCGGCGGCGGCGGCGGGCGGCGGCGCCGAATTGGTGCCCTGTCCGGATTTCCCATCGGGTGTTTGTGGAGTCCGGCGGCTCGGTGGTGGGAGCGCTCGCCTGGGGGGCGAGAGGACCTGGGCTCGATCCCCCAAGCGGGTCGGGACTCGGTGGGCGCGTTTCCCCACTCCACACGCCTCGGGATTACTGACTGGCGGTCAGTAGGAACCCGGATGTCAGCCGACTGGCGGATCGCTTTTCGGGGTGTTGGGGGGGTAATCATCCCTCAAAAAAAACCTGGGGTCACTCAATCCGCGACTGTTTGTGGTACACTGCTGCGTGCACTCAGATCTACAGCAATTCATAGACTCATAGAATGTTACGGCACAGAAGGAGGCCATTCGGCCCATCGAGTCCGTGACGGCTCTTGGACAGAGCTAGAAAATATTTGGAAAGGGTATTCTTGTATATTTTGAGTTCATAGCTCAAATGTGCAGTGGTTTAGGGCTCCCTGATCCCTTAACCTGGCCCTGCGCTCACTCGCTCTCTCACTCACCCTCACCTTCCCACTCTCCCTCACTCTGTCACTGTCATTCTCACTCACTCTCAATCTACCTCCCTCACTCTCACTCTATCACTGTCACTCTCTGTCACGCTCTGTCATTGACTCTCTCACTCTGTCACTCTCTCACACTCTCTCACTCATTCCCACTCTCCCACACTCACTCTTTCCGTCACTCACTCCTTCCTTCACTTTCTGTCGAACTATCACACTCCTTCTCTCACTCCCTCTCTCTCTCACTCCCTCTCTCTCACTTCCTCTCACTCTCACTCTCTATCACTCGCTCAGACTATCTGTCACTTTCTCTCACTCTGTCACTCTCACTTCCTCCCTTTCTCGTTCTCGCTCACCGCTTGATGAGGTTCCTCATGTACCAGACGGGTGGGAAGTGCTGCTTGAGGCAGGTCCTGTAGTTGCGGTTGAGGTCCTGACCGGCCAGCGAGCAGCGGTAGTTGCCCACAACCACGCCATCGGGGTTGAGCATTGGTACCACCTTGAAGAGGAACATGTCACGGAGAAGACTCGCATCCTCAGAACCTCCGAGCAAATAGTCCAGAAAGCCCTTCATGACCCAGGAGCTGTTGGTCTCCCCGGGGTGAACTCGGGCCGTCACAACCACCGCCTTCTTCCCACTGGTGAGCTGCGGGCTCCGTGATGGGTTAGTGACAGTGAGGACATACACCATGTTACCACCCAGCGAGCGACACAGGACACGGAGCTTGCAGTAGCGAGAGCGCACGGGATCGCTGCTGATCCCAGCCAGGTAGTCCTGCAGGTCCGAGTAGGTGAACGGGTAACAGTGGGCAAAATAGCAGGTGTCTCCGGAGTGGGGGAAGCATAGCTTCCAGGTCAGGGAGTAGCATTGCCGGCTGGCCTGGCTCCGGTTGTTACGGTAATAGCTGATGCCCGTGCCCACCCTGTGCCAGCCCATCCCGCGCTCCTCTGCCTCCCGCACCGAGTACATGAGGGGCCGCATGCCCGCGCTGTACAGGCTGGTCGGCTTCAGCAGGTTGGTGATGGTGAAGCGGTAGCATACGCCCCTTTGCATGTTCCCCACCTGGAAATAGTACCACTGTGTGTGCTTGTTAGTGTACAGGTCAGCTCTGAGCAACAGCTCATAGTCATAATCACCTCTACACACACAGAGACACAGAATGAGAGAGAGTGGCAGTGTGAGAGAGACAGGGAGAGTGAGAGAGAGACAGAGAGTGTGAGTGAGTCAAAGAGTGACAGAGAGAGAGAGAGAGACACACAGTGTGAGAGAGAGCGTCCTTGTTAGTATACATATCAGCCCCGAGCAACAGGTCATAGTCACAGTCAGCTCTGCATAGAGAAACACAGAGAGACTGAGACAGTGATCGAGGGACAAGGAGAGTGAGAGACACAGAGAGAGTGAGTGACACAGAGAGAAAGACTGACATGGAGAGAGTGACAGAAAGACAGAGTGTGAGAGAGAGTAAGAGGGAGAGTGGGACAGAAAGTGAGAGAGAGAGAGACGAGTGTGAGGGAGAGAGAGTGACATTGTGACCGAGGGA